GACAGACAAATCACAAAAATAAACAGATCGAGAAAGGGAGAAAGTGCATTCGAAGCACTTGGATAAATTAAGAGACAGTCCAGAGCGAACGAAGAATTCATGAATACGCGATAGATTATTCGAGAAATGTAAAAGGTCCTCAGGCACAGAAATGGCTTGGTAGACGGCTACGTCATCAGCATATTTAAATAACTGGGCTGGAGAACTCGCAGACAGATCACTGATGTAGGTGGGAAACAAGAACAGAGACAATACGGTACCCTGTAGTACTCCCGAAATGTTCACGAGTGGTTTAGACGTTTTCTTACCTAACCGAGTCTACTGAGTTCTGTTTGTGAAGTAGGTAGGTGGCCACGGCGAGCGATGTTTGCCGAGATAGGTAGTGGGTGGAAAAAGATCAAGGGCGGTCAAACAAGACTCCGTCATGAGGGTATGAAAATCCTAACCAGGAAACTGGGTCACATGGGTCCCTTTAGACTCCTTGGCTGGGGACCTCGTGATGATTGTAATCGATGGTTAGAGACACTGAGTAATATAACTCGGTGCCGCAAACAGTAGCCCTCGAGCATCTACTTATTAATAGTATAACCGTAGCCTATATGGGTTTTCTGTCTTCCGCTTGAATTTGCTTTCAGCATTACAATCTTCATCCTGCTCTTTTATCCAAGTGGGCGGCCAAAAGACAGCAACCAAAAGCGGAGCACGAAAGTGCATGGTTAATGGTTGCAAAAACTGAACCCGAACGTATAACTGAGCACCGAAAAGCACCCTCGAGTCAGCTAATCTGAAGTTCAAATTAATTTGACCGACCATGCCTATCAGAGTCTCAGTGATGAGGTTAATCTTTTTTGTGTTTTTGGCTTATGAACACAGCAATGGATGTGCATCGGGGGGGGGGAGTGTGAGGACTCCTTGAAATTTATGCTCCTGTTTGCAATATTGTCAGAACAGGTACGTGTATGTTCAAATCGTTTTGGTAAGTTTTACTTCTTTTATATTTACTGAATGGGTGATGATACAGTTAGTTTTCAGGTCGGGGTCCACTAATCAAACACTACATGAGCACCTACCGAAGTAGGAAATTCGACTGGTGGTGGCGGAATGTAAACATTACCCTCTAGGCCCATTCGATGATGACTTGTCCAGAGCGCTCACTACCGTCAGTTTGGACGCTTCAATTCAGGGAATACAATGGCTGTTTTTCGGTTCTTACAATGAAGGTTTCATGTCGTTTTCTGCTGCTGTTTCACTTCTATTGTGCTTGTTCAGCTGTCTTTTTATCTCTGCCTGGAATCGAGATCTGTTTATTTTGTTTATTGATTTATTTAAATATACTACTCATAAGTAATCTGACCGAGAGTCGATAGTTGTTAGTGCACGCACCACCAAAATCCAGTCAGTTCGTTAGGAAAACAGAAACCTCCGGCATCTAGGAATCTGTGACGGATACATTGGGAGTTACATCGCCGAGGTGCATACTCTTACGCGGTAATGAGTACGTGAATTTGACCCAATCAAATGGCTCGTGCTTCGGATTAGTTCACAATCATTGGCAACAGCGAAAAAGCAACGAGATAAAGTTCTTGTTAGTTTGGCTTGGTTTCCGGGAAACATGACTGCTGGATCCTGCAATTTTCAATTCATCGACCAACTATATCAGATTATGATAATTTTGTGGTGTTTAAATTTAATTCGCTGATCAGGATCGAAGTTTCATTCCTTACGGATAGAAAAAATAATAAGCAGTTCGCCCCCCCCCCCTAATAGATTCTCTGTCGCCTTCCCCTCAAATGCTGGTTGATTTTTAAACAGGGTAGCTGGAAATAAACCTCACCCGAGATATCGAATGGATGTGAATACTTTAGGGACCGAATTGCCAGCCGTAGGGCGAAGTTGTAAGGTTCAGTCAATAATTTGATATCCCATCATCCTGTTGCTATTTCGTCCCGTGGTGACCGCATTTTTCCAGTTTACAACTGGAATAGATATCAACTGTTCGGTTTTCTATTTCGGTTCTGATGTAACAAAATGATCTAGCCACATCTACTTACTGTGTTGCACGTTCCGCGACAACTGCTTTATCACCACCACAGCTCGGTCTGTGCATCACTCAATCCTTTGGATACCTTAATTGCTTCGACGGTTCGTCTCCCGTTGCATTGTAGCATAATATTTCCCGTCTATCTATCTATCTACCATAAATTCCTTCAGATCTTGCGGGCACTGCCATCACAGATCTCACTCAGTCACGTTCAACCATTTCTTGCTCGAGCATTTCGTACGGTACAGCATCAGCTTTCGACTTGTCACCTTACTCAAGGCTTGGCCAAACGACAAGCCATCGTGGCCGCAGAGACGTTACAGTCAGGCTTAGATGCTGCTCCACTACCTCAGCTGGTGCGCACGGGCGAGGAACAGTGCGCCGCTTGCCATCGAAACCTCACGCTGTACGGATCCACCAGCGCATTCGCCTGGTCCACTCGATCAAATCAATGCTTCCATATACATTGCTGGGAGCAGTCCCATCGAGCTGCATGAAATGCGTTCGATCAAGCAACTGTTCATTTGGATTGTGAATGCCCACTGTGATTTATTCACCCAGCAAAGCGTTCGGTGCTCTGCAGAATCTCCATGGTCCAGAATTACTTGTTTTATTCTTTCTGTATGTATATCTTTTCAATTCCACCCCATAGTATCCATGTGATTTACACATTTGTATGTGCAATAGATGAATACTGTTTTAAATTCTGTTTCAATCTCTCAACTAAGAATGGACGGCCTCTAATTAACTACCACGATCCGTGTGAATTCCTTCTTCTGGAAGCAACTTTCATTCATGACATCCAACTTCATAGCAGGATCCAGATGCGAAGCCAGCTTGTTTATCGACATCTTTTTGAGTAATTTGGCTCGCTTACTGCTTTTTTCCAGTTTCAGTAGTTTTCTATGCAACAATGATAACTAGGTGAACTGCACGCCTATCGTAACCCAGTTGATCATGTGTATTTGGAACTTCTCCGGGTCCAGATTTAAAGTCTAACAAAATCGTGATAGAACAATCTTTATAATAACCTTACCAATTTACCCAAACGAAAACAGATCATTCTCTCAGGGGCTCACAGTTAGAGCCTTCAATTAACCCTAGACAAAAACAGAGCCTAGCCTAGCGGCGGTATGCGAAGACTGTAGTTCATTGGGACTGGTTGCGCAATCAGTCGGCCTCACTTCTATCAGATGCAGATCACACCAATCAAGGGTGTCCAGCAAACCTTATCATCTGACGAAACCGGTAATTTTCGCACCCAGGATATCCCACTGATATGCCTTTAGTGCGAAGGATAAAACGGATACTTTGCAAATTGTCGCGATAATCTACTTCCCTGTTACTCAAATACCCACAATTAACCCATGATTTCGAATTTATCTTACCTAAGTCTTTTCGAAACAGCCCTGTCAGATGAAGAACTAGAATAGTATTCTCGAAATAGTTGCTTCAAGTGACATTTCCCATGAGATTGAATGCCTGTTATAGACCATAACGAGACTCTGTCGACCCTGAAAAAACAAACGTATTCACCATACACCGGATGCGAGTGGTTCACCTTTCTCAGTGGGCAAAATTCGGTTTCCCGGGAGGTCAACAACTGTGTCTCAAGTGAGAAGGATCTCTCTCGTTGTCACTGTCCAAGATTGCCTAAGTTGTTCTTAAAAACTGCTCCAGAGCGTCGTCTACCACTGTAAGACATGTTGGTTTGCTCAAGTGAGTATCTGGCAAGTTTGAATCCACGGTCGTTATCAGCCTACATTCGGCCCCATATGGAGTAGGCAATTCAAGCATGAAATCCATGGCTGCGACGCGATCGGAAAATTCTGGAACGTCCACAGAATGGCCACCAAAATCATCGTAAAGGGACTGCATTTTAAGACTTATGTAAAGAGACTGGAATGATCGATGCTTTACTCATTACAGTGTCGCCAAATTCGAGGAAACTTGATTTTGGTGTATCAAACAATGCAGAGCCCAGATCACTCATGTCGTTCACTCTTTGCCTCGTCGCCCAACACTCACCTGAGGGAGCACTTGTTCAAATTAGTGCTCCAAAAATGCTGGCGTCATTCATTCGCCCTCAGCGTGTGCATTTTGGATAATACGGGACACTAAGACAGCCGCCTTTGTATATTGGAGAGATTATTCCATGTTTGTGGGAGCACAGTTTTGTCGAATATTTGTTGAATTAATTCGCTTAATGGTTGAACCATGTGACTTATCAGGTTGATGAAGGTTTGTAGATGGATATTATCTGTCCCCGGAGATGCATTCCTTTTCAAACACTGAAGTTTCCATACTATGATTTCTGGGGGGAAATCAATTATGGTAAGCGTTGGGTATAGTATATCCTCAAGTAACAGGTAGTCGTAGTCCGGTGTTTGCAGCTACGGTGAATACTGAAGCTTATATGTCTTTTTAGCATTTCAGTTACCTCCTTTGTTGTGACTGAAACACGTTCTACCACTCTTAGTGCTGGAAAGCCAGACTTAACTTTTCTGGTGGCTGTTATATGTTTGTACAACAGCTTTGGATTTGATAGCTTTAGCATTTCTCGGTGCGATAGATAGCCTGTCTTCTCGCGCCAAATTGGTGCAGTAGTTTTGAAGTTTACAGTAGATATACCATCTCTTGTTGCAAGGAGATTGTTGATAAGCTCTCCATTATTCGATTTCGAATCGCTGATCTTTGACCAGTTGCGTAGGTGATGCGTTTGACGTTCGTCACGCCCTTTACCATTTCCGTCGGGTGATCTGTAAATTCTGCCCCGGATGCCAGGGGATCACATTGTTCGTTTGAAAATTTCCATAGGAAATCTGTTTCCAAAATTTTACGTTTGGTGTAGTCAACAAACATAGAGGAGCTAATCGTAAATTTATGCGGTACGGATGCATAGTAAAAGTAGCTAAAAGTCAATACAGCAGGATCACTACGCCCTAATGGAGTTGTAGTAGAAACAGTTTCCACCATCATTTCCTCGTTAGCTAACACCAAGTCCGAAACGACGATCACTGGTTGGCTCCAAACCCCGTGGGCTGCTTCACAAAATTGTAAAGTGGATAGGATTCCACGAGCGGTGGTGGCCCGTTGGTAACGTCACCAATTATCACCCCGGAGGGCGAGTGTTCGAATCCCACCACCACTGCCTGATTTTCCCCATTTGTGTGTTGTATGGCAGCCCTCTGGTTGGCCGCTTCCCCCGTCCTGAAAATTGTATCTTTGTATATTCAATAAAAAAGGAAGTAAAATGAAAAAGAAAAGAAGCTGTGCGAGTCGCAACTCAAACGGTTGTAGAGAGGTCCCTGGTTTGGCTATGTTTGGGCAGTTGAAGTCGCCTATAATGAGACCCTACTTGAACTTCATTGACAGAATGTGATTCGGAGTTGCAATAGTGGCTGAGTCTGTGGATGAATGAGAGCAGTACACCGCACCGACCAAGCCGACTTCCCGCTGCGAATGTCGCACTTTGCACTACAGTGAATCAGAATTCGCAGCAGGATAATCAATTACCTCGCATTGTAGTTTTAGAGTAACACCCCACCACCCCTTGTAGATCGATCGCGTCTGAGCAGAGTCATGCCGGGTAAGCGTAATTCTGAGTCCAGAACTTCGATTATCAGCCAGGTTTCGGTGACTGCAATAATGTCCCATTGATCAGTTTGAGAACGCAGTTCAACCTCAGGAAATTTGCTGAGGAAACCTTGGGAGTTAGCGTAGAAACAATGAGGTTGGCCGCGAAGCAGAAACTCGTCGTGGTGTAAAAGTTTATTTGAGCCGACCGTATTGTAGACATTTCTGGTGTGCCTATTTCCAGAATTTTCTGGCTGTCTCCGCAGTAGTTAGGAGAACAGGAGACGGCTAACTATTGTAGTCGAGACCTGACGACATCCAATAAAATATTGAATGAACCGCCAAATAGCAGTCACTTTGATGTGTCTAAATCATTTAATTGTGGGATTCCGTGTATAAGAATCACCCGGGCATTGTGTCTCCTGCGCATTGTCCGGGTTATTCTGCTGGTGCGCGCGCTCGCTCCATGGTCTGTCTGTTAAATTCTTTGTTTTACTTGAAACTCCTCGGAGGAAAAAGCTTGATAGAAGAACATTTTCTACGTCCGATACGCTCCCCAATGTCACCCGAGGTAACCTGAGTCCTCCGGCGTAAGGTGAACTCGGCTGTCACCGAAGGTATGTGAAACCCACAGGTTGAGTGATGATACAGCACCTCAGCTCTTCATCTTGCCTCTCTCTTAGTGACAATGCCGTGGGCTCGGAAACGTTTGTACAAATCACATTCAGAGAAGTGTTAGTCACGTCTTTCTTTTTTGTAGGCAGAGTTGTTTTCTTTGAAGAGGCAGGTAAGGGAGGCCACGGGGTGTGTGAGATCCGAGGTAGCAAATGCTTCTACTGCTGCTTTTTTCGTCACGCTCGGTTTTGTCGTTTGCATCCGCTGCCATGGGGTGATCAGTTGTACTGAGCATTTTGGTCCTCTGCTAGGTTTCCGGGTCGGGCTGATTGGTGTGATCTGTAAACCTAAGTCCGCTATTTTTGCCTCAAGTGTGACGATGTTTGTATTCGCTCTTTCTTCGGTGGCTGAAAATAGCTTCTCAAACTTGTGTGTGATACAAGTAATGCATTTTACAATCGGGATTTCCGCACATTCTGTACAGAACCATATACGTTCTGGCTAGGTAGTTAACTGTTTCACCTGTCTTACCAAGGGTTTGGCGCATGAAAGGTGGAAGCGTTTCAGGCAGTGTATCGAACGACCAGGCTGACGAAGTATGAAAAGGTCACGTGAAGAAAGAAGTTTATTCGGTCGCCTCTCTCTATATATACATAATAAGTAGTATGTGAATGACTGGACAAAATGTCCTGGAAGCACACGACCCGTTTTGCGGTTCTTGCCGCTCGTCAGGCATGCGTATCCGGNGTTCAATCACATATTTGTACCCAGGAAGGGTGTTTTTTCGTCACAATAACCTTGTTTACAACACCGGGTGACTTTTGGATAGACAACTCTTTCAGAGCCAGTAGATTAAAGAATCCGTGCATAAACTGACAAAAGATTACCGGATACCCATGCCTGACGAGCGGCAAGAACAGCGAAATCGGTCGTGTTTCCAGGGATTTTTTTGCAGTCATTCACATACTACTTCTTATGAAATATTCTGTAAAGACGCGCAAGTCAAGTTGGTTGCGGCTAATAGCATCTAACCCGCTTACAAATACATTGAATTGGCATTGATTCTTCAGTGGACTGGCTCTGAAAGAGCTGTCTATCCAAGAGTCACCTGGAATTGCAAACAAGATTATTGTGACAAATATATATATATATATCTTTTTGTTTTAAGTCAGCGATTGAGAAGATTAAACGAAATGGTAAAATCTCGCGGCATTTTTCATCTTTCTCTTGTGATGCAATCGATGAAGGGGATTCAATGCTTCAACCTCCTTTTACGAATTAATCTCGTGCCACAGTGTGTTATCGC